AGAAACAAACAAACAAGCAGATACGTAACAATATATATCACTTTATTTTGTTTCAATTGTTTGTAAGCTTTGTTATACACGTATATTTGTTACATTGTCACGTCACGCGACCTTCGATTTAGAATGTTTTCGTTTACAGATTTACTGTTCAGTTAGTGATACACGAAGAAGAGCATTGCCCAAAATATTGTATCCACAATTATATATATATATATTAAAATACACACACACATATATATATTAACTCCTTAGTGGTTTTGACTTATAACACACTTCTTTTTTCTCTGCTTCGTGAATCACTAAGTATCAAATTGTCACGTGTCTATTGCGTTTGATCAATGTAGTTATTGGTACTTATTACTATACTAAAATATACTTGCCAGATACTGAATAAAACGTAAGTTTATTTGTGTTCACGTAAGTAACAGTATTGAATTTAATTTGTGGAAAGTTTCGGATTGGTGCACAAAGAACAATAGATGGATATGACCTCTCGTGCTACCAGACAAATTCTACTTGATCCACTAGCGGATTTAAGGCTACAAATGAGTCTACCTAACAGACAACACTTGAAATGGGCCTTATGAAAAAAAAACTACAGATGACCAGTTCTTAAAAGAGCAAAGATAACTTAAGAAACGTTAGCATACAGAATTTGAAAAAAAAAGTTAGAGATAACACATATAGTAAAAATCCCTATAATGAGATAAATGCCTAAGCTTGTAGTGGAGTTTGTTGGGTCAGGTCAAGAAAGTTATTTATATTCTATAGCGACTATGTTAAGTATGTGACTTATACTGGGTACACTGTAGTAAACAACATAACTTCTGGTGGAGTTGAGTGAACTTATAAGTGGGACAGTTGCTTAGGCTTGTGTTGGAGTATATACGTTTATGACAAAGGAACATATTTATATTCTGTAGTGACTATGTTAAGTATGTGACTTATACTGGGTACACTGTAGTAAACAACTGACCCAACATAACTTTTGGTGGAGTTGAGTGAACTTATAAGTGGGACAGTTACTTAGGCTTGTGTTGGAGTATATACGTTTATGACAAAGGAACATATTTATATTCTGTAGTGACTATGTTAATTATATGACTTATACTGAGTCAACGTGCAAAACAATTGACTCAACATAACTTATATCATTATTAGTGTTGAATAAAATAATAACTTTAAACCGTAGAATGCTTACGTTTGAGTTAGATTATGTAAGACTGGGATAACGAAGGTTATGCACAATCCGTAAATATTATTCATTAAAATCATTTTAACATAAATTTCTTCTGGAAGGTTATATGAACAGTGGCGACATTGTTAGTGTTATACATAATAGTTCAAAATAAATTGTGCTTAACACAAAAATGATAAAACAAATGTCGTGTTCCATCAAGCTGTCCATAGAACAATAACACAGCTTGATTATATATACAATCTCGTATAAATGGACAAATACTACTTCTTTTGCTCCGTTTTCCTGGATTTAGCATGACTGGATATGTCCTCCGGTGGGATAAGAGTAAGTTTACGGAGTTACAACGCTAGAATATGGGGTTCGATTCACTGTGATGGACACAGCAGATAGCCCAATTTGGCTTTGCTCTAAAACAAATAAACAAAGACTGGACATTGTCCAATTTTCCTGAACTTAGCATGTCCAGATATTGTCTAATTTTCATTAATTTAGCATGATTGGATATTGTCTAATATTCCTGAACTGATCATGACTGAATGTTGTCTAATTTTTTCCTGCACTGATCATGACTGGATGTTGTCTGATATTCCTGAACTGATCATAACTGGATATTGTCTAATATTCCTGAACTGATCATGACTGAATGTTGTCTAATATTTCTGCACTGATCATGATTGGATATTATCTAATATTCCTGAACTGATCATGACTGGATATTGTCTAATTTTTCTGCACTGATCATGACTGGATGTTGTCTAATATTCCTGAACTGATCATGACTGGATGTTGTCTAATTTTCATGAATTTAGCATGATTGGATATTGTCTAATATTCCTGAACTGATCATGACTGGATATTGTCTAATTTTTCTGCACTGATCATGATTGGATATTATCTAATATCCCTGAACTGATCATGATTGGATATTGTCTAATTTTTCTGCACTGATCATGACTGGATATTATCTAATATTCCTGAACTGATCATGATTGGATATTGTCTAATTTTTCTGCACTGATCATGACTGGATGTTGTCTAATATTCCTGCACTGATCATGACTGGATATTGCCTAATTTTCCTGCACTGATCATGACTGGATGTTGTTTAATATTCCTGAACTGATCATGACTGAATAATGTTTAATTTTCCTGAACTGATCATGACTGGATATTGTTTTAGGATTGTTAATGGAAGCTAACATAAAACAAAAACCATGTACGAAAAATGGACAATTGACACAGAGAAAACTGATGGGTGGCCCCAAGAGACCCTTACCATGCACCTTTAGATTAAGCCGTTTCTGATTTTTCAAGGAAACTTCTTGAAGCGGATAGCTTTGCTGATTTATTTTATGGAAGCCAAATTCTTAACACAGTTTCATCGCCACAAAGATACACGAATAATTACCGACAAAATATTGTCTTAAAAAAAAAACTTCATTTTTGGAACTCAGGAAACAATGGAATAAAATAAAATTATCGTAAATAATGATTTAATTCACTCCAACATGACATCAAAAGACAACTTAAATAATAACAATGCCACTATAAGGGCAACTTTGTACCAAATCATACTGAATCTCAGTCAAAGAAAAGTTGTATAATGTTTATTCGAAGATAGTAACTTACTCTAGTAAGTTCCCTTAAGCCCCTTCCCCCCAGTGGCACAGCTGTATGTTTACGGACTTACAACGCTAGAAACCTGGTTTCG